ATATTAATTAGAATATGTAAAATGGATATGTGATATAATAATGATTAAACATATTGTTTTATATATATATGATAAAAAATCATACATATATATATATATATATATATATATATATATATATATATATATATATATATATATATATATATATATATATATATATATATATATATATATATATATATATATATATATATATATATATATATATATAGAGAGAGAGAGATAATAATGTATGATAGTGAAAGTCAAAATGAAAGTCACTCAGTATAGTTGAAATATATGGATCTAATCCATATTGTATTAGTGAGCTTTATTATATTAATATCAACAATAAACAAAATATGTGAAAAATATGTTTTGATAGAAACATTTAAAACATGGCATGTTGAACAAAAAAGCTATACCCAGTTCTTTCTGCAGTAAATATGATGCTTTTTTCTTCTCTAAACCTACTAATAAATTTAAAGGATAACAATTTTATAGCAATAGTTATATCTAAAAGTATATTCATTTGCTAAAAGCATTAATTTTATTACTACGCTTTGTTATTGTTTACTAAAGAGTTCCACTGTTTAAAACAAATGTTATCAAATTTCAAAAATATAAAAAAACACAATATTTTTCGAATATTTTATTCGAAATATTTTAAATTGATATTTTAGAAGAAAAAAATTATCACTTATAACAATGAATTAGCTACAATTTTTGACATCGTAAAATTGATACATGAACTTCGTAAAATTATCGTGATATTTGTGATATTTGACATTGTGATATTTGACATCGTAAAATTGATATATGATTAAGCAACTTTACTCGGACATGAATTATGAATTAAGAAATGTCAATGAATGGTTTAAGGCTAATTGTCACTTAATGTAGATAAAACAAAGTATACTCTATTCCATAAAAAATCACAACAGGAAAACCTTCCCTTAAAATTACTAGATTTAATTTTAGATGATAAACCAATTGGAAAAAATAAGTCAATACAATTCTTAGGAATTCTTATTGATAAAAATTTATCATGGCTTCCTCACATAAATTATATCCAATCAAAAATTAGTAAAACAATTGGTTTGATGTACTGTATTCGCCCATATGTAACATCAGAAAGTCTGAAACTAGTATATTTTGGCCTATTACATTGTATTATTTACTATTCTAATATTACATGGGCTAGTACTCAACCAACAAAACTTAAAAAAATATTTTCTTTACAAAAACATGCATGCAGACTAATATATATAAAAAATAAATATGAACATGCAAAACCACTAATGAAAGACATGCAAATGATGAGATTATATGAAATTAATATTTACCAACACTTAATTTTTATGTATAAATATAATAACAGCCTGATTCCGAAAAACTTTAATAATAAATTTACAAAAAATGTTAACAATAATTACTCTCTTAGAATAAACCAATGGAATACTTATAAATTGCCTAGAATTAGGAGCAAGTATTCTGAATACGGAATTACATACCGTGGACCGAAACTATGGAGCACATTTCAAATAACCAAACATTTAAATACGGTAAAATCATTAAACTCCTTTAAGTTTCTAATAAAAAATGAAACTTTTAAACATAAATAATTTTGCAATTTTTCTAAATAAACATCGATTAATAACATTCCAAATAAACATTCCATTATTCTTAGTTTGAAAAAAAAAATTGTGTCTTTTTTTTTTATATTTAAAACAGTTAGTTTTAAATATAAAAAAAAGTATGTCAGTATTTTTTAAATGACTATTGTTAAAATTATATTAATACCATTTCCTTTCTTTCTTTAAATGTAAATATTTATGAAAGTTTTTTTTTATTATATTAGAATTGTACAATTGTATTTTTAACAATCTTATTCTATTTTAAACTTGTAAAGCCCACATAGGGGCTCTATGAAAAGATTGTGGTGACTTTCCGTATCTTCTTTGAGCCCCTGCCTGTTTTTATAAATCAACTTTTTTTTGTATGTAAACGTTTCTTTGTAATTATATTTTCTTATTATATAAACAGCAAATATATATAAACTAAAAATTAATGTAATTTATGGACATTTATATCAGCAAAATTGAAATTGTCAGATAAGTGCCCGGTGGGAAATGAGCTAGCGACTAGCTAGCGACTAGCTAGCTCTATAGCGATTTTCAAGTGATTTTCTTTTCTTATTTTATTTTTTGCAAATGTCTTTAAGATCTTTAAAAATTCGATTTTTAGTGGTGAGTCTACAATTATGAAAATAATTGAACTTTAAACATTGCGATTTTGTAGCAATGTGTCGCTAACTACATATCGTAGCTTTGTAGCTAGCTGCTAGCTGCTAGCTACAAAACATCTACAAATCTATATCTGGTTGATAGCTACATATCAAAATTTTTTAGATTTATTACGATATGACGCTATGTACAATAGCTAGTGGATCTTCAGCTTAATAAGCTAGCTGTCCTCGTAGCCAAATCGCTGTCTTTATCTTTAAAAAAATCGATAGCTTTTCGCTAACTTAAAAAAGCTAGCGATCCTCGATGCCAAATCGCTGTCTTTATCGTAACGATTATAGCCGATTTCCCAGCGGGTAAAACCCGGGAAAAGTTAAACTACCCTTTGTCCTCCAACACAGTACAAATAAAAAAAACATGTGTTTTGAATTAGCTTTCTTATTTAGAAAGTTTTTGCTTGAACTTTTTTTTTCAGTTGACTACTTTATTCAGTTTTGATTTTATTATTTTTATTATATTTCTTTTTTTAAAGTTTTTTATAACTAAAAGCAACCCACGGTTTTTGTTAACAAAAATAAAACAGAAACTTATCGAGCAAGGAAATTTTTTAACACATTGTTTTACTTTAGAATCATATTATTTTATTTTTGATGCAATGATTATAAATTAGAGAAATATATCAGAAAAAATAATTCTTTTTTTTTATTAAATAACAATTAAATACTTTTTGATTTTCATAAATTTTTGAAATCTTGCCTAATGCCAAAAATGCATGAAAATAAATCCACGAAAATGTATGAAAAACCACTAACTGACATATTTATATAAACGATTTTCAGTGCGACCACAAGTTTTTAATGTGTATAATTTTTTAAATCTATTTCATTTATCATTTTATGATTCCTTATGATCATTTGTTCAATAAATACTTAGTAACTAATGCTTGTTTACATAAACTAGTATTGATTACCAAGTATCTTATTTTAAAAAATTCTATTCTATTCTCTAATTTTCACAGATTTGCAGACAGAATTTGTTCTGTAAATTTTTAGTTAGAACTTAGAATAAGCTTAACAGTTATGTTGTCTGTTACACCAGGGTGTCTGCCAGATCAGGGTAAAGTCTAGGAATTTAGATATCTAGATAAGCTAAAAGTAACTAAAAAAGGAGAGAAAAAATCATAGAAATTAGATTAAATTTAGAAAAAATTAGGGATACAAAAAAAGAAAGTCGATGCGACAAACTGAAATGCCCTATACCAGTTATATATCATTCACATCTGATAAATTTAAATTGGCATATTGTTTTATGAACTCCTCTCTATACTTTACTTGTGGATTTTATTAATGGATATACATTTTCAATTAAAGAACCATTATGATAATGGCTCTTTAATTGAAAATGTATATCCATTAATGGTTAATTTTTCAATTAGGCCCCATTAAATTAAGCCCCATAAATGGTTAATTTTTTAATCAGGCCCCATTAATTACGCCCCAATAAAAATAATCCTTACAGATAATGATTATCTGTAAGGATCCAAGTCCATTTTTTGTTCATGTAATACACCCTAATACTAGCTGAGGTTGAAATGGCTTTTTATAGCTGAAATAAAATGCAGAGAACAGTTAAAGGGTCAGGAAATAATCAGGGGAGTTGACCATAAATAGTTTTTTTGTTTCAAAGGTACAAGATAAGATTAAGTTATCTTGTACAAGATAAGATAAATGATTAGTATAAATGTTTAAATCTGGGTTAGTTACATAAGTATAAATGATTAAATCAGTATAAATGATTAAATCTGGGTTAGTTACATCAGCTAACTATCTGTTTAGTTGCACTTGCTAATTATACTTTTAAAGGGAAAAAATTGCAAATTGTGTTTGACAAATGTCAGCGGGCTTTGGTTCTTTTGTTCATGAGTAGTTTAAATATTTTTAAAGATTTGTAATCAAACCATTTACACTTTTTATCAGTTCAATCTTTTGGTATGTTTTTCAAAAATCTAAAGACAGTTTTTAAGATTCTAAAAATTTATTGAATCAATGTTTAATTTTTTTCCATGTAATTTTCAAATCTTCAACACATAATAAAAGTGTTAATCACTCATAATGAATTGGTTTTCATGCTAAATTTTATTCTGAAATTTCATTTGCTGTTTATTTTATAGGATTCCTGAATAAGTTTGCAGCAGGCTTTAACCTAGAGAAATTAAAAAATTTATATGCTTTCAAATAATTTGGTTTAATTCATAGATAATTAAATTTAAATCTATACTTTCAAGTGAATAATACACAGAGGGGGAGGAGGGGTTTATTATTTTTTGAAAATTTTTCTACCCACACCAAACTTATTAAGATCCTCCCCCCTCCCTCCATTTATTATTATTTACTTGTTATTAACTAAGAAGCTGTATCTTGAAAATAAAAGACTTTCAGAGTAAACCAGCCTTAAAACTTAGAAAATATAAACTCACTGATCGAAATAAAAATTCGCAGCCACTGATTTATTAGATCTGGACGAAAGTTTACACCCATTCTTTTATTTCCACCCACTTTTTATTAAGCACCTGAGACTAGTTTTATAGTTATAAAAATAATATAAAAAAACAAAAAACAAATAAGCATAGCCTAGCAATGGCTAATAAAACATCAATATATGTTTCCAGTTTTTGTCAGCTTGGTAGCATAACCATAACAATAAAAAAATAGCAGATAAAAGCAATTGCAATGTAACATAAATAAAATGTATTTATTTTATTATTTTTTAGAATAAAAAAAAGAATAATTTATGATTTAAAGCAATGCCACAGAAGACGATTGGGTATTTTACTTTTTAATTAAAAATTTTTTGTTTTAATTACATGTTGTGTTAAAAATTCCTTTTTTTATATACATGACTGTTGTTAGTATGTAAAAAAGTGAAAGACTAATGCTCTAACCTATCAGTTGACACATGTACTTTTTTTTTGTGGATCTGTTTTAGAGATTTTGGCAGTAAGAAATTTAAGTTCAGATATCTCAGCAACTAGGCATTGTAAAATTATTATTTTTTTATTTCTTATATTATAAATAGATACTTAAAAATTTCAAGTTTTAAATTTCCACCAGGTTTGTTTTTAATTTTTAATTTGTCTTAATTTTAACATTTTTGGACTAGAGGTTATTTTCCGGGTTGAATTTTGAATATTGAATTTCTATAATTTTAAAGCAAATGTTACAAAATTAAATAGAAATGCCTACCACCTATATTTGCATAGAATAATGTTTTTATTCTCTCTGTCTTTTTATTAGCTTTGTTAATATTATTAGTTTATTAATTAATATTATTAGAATTTCACTATCTGAATAGATGTTTTTTTAATTTTAATTTAAACCTAACATGGTTTAAAAAAGTTTTGTAAATAAACTTTAATTTTTTCAAAAACTTAGGTGGATTACTGCTATCAAGTCTAAAATAAATAGTTTCATTAAATATTGATTTCAAAAATAATTATAGAGCCTTTTGTAAAGGTATTTTATTTGCAATTTATAAAAATATTATATAATATTAAATAATCAATTTATTTTAAAGTTTACCAGTAAAACTTAATGGTACTAGCAAAAACTCTTAACACAAAACTAAGTTTTAGACTAAAAAATTAAAAGTTACCAAAAAAATTATTGCACAAAATTCATACATCCACACAAAACTTATTTGGAATTTTTTGTTTTTATTTTTACCGTAAAATAGGTAAAATTTTTATTATTACCGTAAAGTAGGGTGACTTTTAACAGGTGGGTGTTGCAGCATAATTGTATTTATTCATTTTTCTTTTTTACAATTTCATGGTACATTTTAATTTATGAATAATTAGTCTACAATAAATAGGTATCAAGTAAATATCATGATAAAAAATATCATGATGGCCATGAAAGTATCAACAAAAGTTCAAAGAAATACCATAATTATAGTAGCAACACTTTTATTGCTGCTATGAATAGTAAATGACCGGGGTTGATATTTGACCCGGGCCAGGTCCATGTTTAATAAAATATAGCCTGGGCCAGGGCTGGGTTTGTGACCCGGGCTGCATCATCATCATTATCATCATCATCATCATCATCATCATCATCATCATCATCATCATCATCATCATCATCATCTTCTTTTTCTTCTTCTTTTTCTTCTTCTCTTTTGGCAAATATTACACTATATAAATACTAAAGTTTAAATAAATATGAAAGGATATTGTATGCCAGCATCTAAATAAATAGTAAACATATATGTTTATATCCATAATATGTATGCATAAAGTGCATCTCAGAAGTTTCTGATGTTAAGTTCTGTTATTTTCAGTTTACTAAATTTTTTATTTTTTATCAGATGTAAGGTTCTAGAGACTTTTGGTTAGTCTTCAACAATGCCATTAACTAAAATAAGTCTAACATTTAATCTTATTAACTATATAATATTTAATAATATTTAATTTTTAAAAAGAGCTAGATAAGTGGTTTTAATTTTTCAAAACTCTAGAAAACACTTTGACCTCTCCAAATATCCTACAATTAGTTTTTACTCTTTTTTTATATAGTTTTGTTATGCAAAGGTTTTAAGATTATTAAATCATTTCTTACTAAAAGATTTTAGGCAGTGCTCATCAGCATGACCACTACCTAAATAAGTATAAAAAGGAGAACTGTTGGATGAGGGAGGCAGTGATAAAGAAAAGGAAAAAGATGATAAGTAAAAAGTCTGCAGAAACAGATCTAGATAAAGATGTCAATCAAATCTCTCCAGAGATTTTCTTCTACAGAGACAAATGTAATATGTAAAAGTGCTACACCTGAAAAGTGCTACACAAATCTGTCAAAAGTAGTGACTGGGTATCTGTAAAATTTGTGAAGCTCTATGGTTGAAATTGATGAGTGATTTTCTATCAAATTTCTGAAAATTTCTTTTGGTAGTACATATATCTGCAAACACTGACACTGTCTTAAAGTGCAAGGACAAAAGTTTCCATTCCAAGGGTATGCGTTTCAACTGTAATGCCACCTCCAAAACGCAAACCTTGGCAAACCACTGTGCAGCCTTTTTTTAGCAGTTTTGTTTTTCATTTTTATTTAATTGTTAAATATTGATTACAAGTTTACATTGAAATTTTTTTCATAGAATTGCTTTATTTTAAGATATTTTTTTATATTTATAATTTTTATGTTATTGCTTCTTTTTTTAAAACTGTTTTATGGGTTATTAATTAATTTATGATGCCGATATTTTAGTTTTAGTTTCTTTTTTTAGTTCTTTTTTTACAAAAAAAGCTGAGCAAAAGAAGGAGAATGGGTAAGACTTTATAGAATTCTTAACATTTTATCATGTTGGTTTTGATTTAAAAATTACTAAATAAAGTTTTATTCACAGCAACTTTTAACTTTATATAAATGGCCAATAAGCGAAAAAATAGTTAATTAAATAATAAATAATGGCTAGTTAATAAGTGGAGGAATTGTTGTAGGATCTTTGAAGAAGTTAGTGTGGCTTACTCAATTAAATACTCACCTAAATCTGTTGCGATTAGGAAAGAATCATCTTTTTGGTAACAATCTAATGCTTTTGAGGAAAAACTTTATTATATTCTCTATTGGAAGGTATTGAAATATGTTTCAAATTGATTTGGAATTATATGAAGATTGAATTATTCATTAAAAAGGCTTATACATGAAGTAGATTATATAGAGAAGAGATTTTATAGGTGATAAGTTGTATTGGTATCAGATTATAAGATTATTTAGAGAATTATGTTCTAATTTATATATTCTTTAAAATGGATAATATAAAATATTAGACATGTATCCTAGTATATTGTATATTCTAGAGTAGTTTGTAAAAACAATTTTTTTATAACGTTAGGCTACAGCCTACAAAATGTATTTAATATGAAATGATTATTTTAGATTTTATTTCATAAAAACTATGTTTTTTTCAATTAAAAATAAAAAAAATGTGTTTTTTGATATTTAATTATTTTAAAAATTAAAAAAAACAAAACATTATTTTTTAAAATTTTGATATGATTTTGCTTTTTTTGAGACCCAGGTTGACATATGTTTGAAGAACTTTTTTACCTAATATTATCAAATTTTATTATATTGAACACAATTTGGAGGCTGGAGCAAACATTTTCAAAAAAAATTGTTTCTACTAACTGCCCTAGTATGTATGTATGTATGTATGTATGTATGTATGTATGTATGTATGTATGTATGTATGTATGTATGTATGTATGTATGTATGTATGTATGTATGTATGTATGTATGTATGTATGTATGTAAGTGTGTATGTATGTATGTAAGTGTGTATGCTGAGCGTAGTTAAGCAGAGATCCGAAGAAAAATATAGTGTTTAGGCCCTTTCATTTTCAAAAAATGCTGTTTTATTTTGTGTGCATTTTGATGCTCATTGTTTTATTTTGTTTACAAATATTCAATGGTTTTATTAGCTACGAGTTTGAAGGTTTAGCTTAATGCTATGGGACAGAAGTTATAAAAGCTTAAATATTTCTGTTGCTGAGTGAAAACTAATGTGAAAACTTAAATGTTTTTGTTGCTGAGTGAAAACTAATGTGAAAACTTCGATTTTAACGTTTTTAATGTTTACGGAAAGATAAAATAAGAGGTTTTTAGTCAATTATTGAATATTTTAAAGCTGTAAACAAGAAGTCTTTTTACTTTCAAATAAAAGAGACATTTTTGGAATTTAAATACTTAACATATTTGTTTCAGCTGTTTATATGACGCTGCCCTATCGCGTTTTATGTATTATAGTGGTAGTTTTGTTTTGCTTGATGCTTTGGTTGAAAAAAGATTTATAAAAAAATAATTGTATAAGAAAAGCTTAAATTCTACTTTTTTTAAATATATAACAGTTATATTCAAAAATAAGTGTGAAATACAAAAAATTGAAGTTTAAAAATTGAAGTTTAAATTTTTGTTTTTAAGAAATGCAAAGTGTTCGGATCTCTCCTTAACTACGCTGAGTGTATGTATGTATGTATGTATGTATGTATGTATGTATGTATGTATGTATGTATGTATGTATGTATGTATGTATGTATGTATGTATGTATGTATGTATGTATGTATGTATGTATGTAGGAGTTGAAATAAATGTCAGATATTGGCATCCCCCTGACTGTTTTTGAAACCTGTTTCAAGGGGGCAATCAACCATTGTTTAATTTTTCTGAAAAAATTGGTTAGTTGCCCTCATCAAGCAGGTCTCAATAATGGTCCAAGGGACAGTGATGTCTGACAACTATTTTGACCCCTATCTATGTATGTATGCATGTTTGATTGTGTTACTGAGGTATTATTTATGTATGGATTAAGCTTTGCAGTATTTTATATTGTAAATTATAAAAGTTATGACCATGCAAATTATCTCATCCTCCCAAAATGGGGTTGTAAATTTTTTTAGTTTTGGTTTTTAAATTATTTATAAATTATGCATGAAGTTTTTTTTGATTTGTCTATTAGTTATTATTATTTTTTAAATTTATTTTCAATAAAAAACATCTTATTTTTTACTTATTTATATTTACTTTTTACTTGGATCCAAACTAGAATTTATATTGCAAAAAAGAAACATAGTTTATAAGATTGATGTCTAATTTGATTTATAAATGTACCTGTAAAAAAAAATTGATCAACTCAACAAGCTAAAAAAGATGAATTTGTTATGTCATTTAATTTATTGTCTGATATTGCTCACCATGATGCCACGATTTTACATGATCACCATGATGCCATGATTTTACATGATCACCATGATGCCACGATTTTACATGATCACCATGATGCCACGATTTTACATGATCACCATGATGCCACAATTTTACATGATCACCATGATGCCATGAGCTTAATTAATTTAAATAGGAATAAGTTTTTTTACTGACCAATGTTTATTAATTTTTAAACTTTTTAACATTTATAAATGTCTCATAAAAAAGAATAGGCAAAATATATAAACATAATTTAAGAACTTGGAAGTAGAGTCTGTTTATCAAAATGGAGGGAGAAATTAAATAGTTATATGCCTAGAAAATGTTAAAACTGATCTAGTAAATCTGGTCAAGTTCAATACCCATTAATTTTAAAATTTCAGAATTTTAAGAAACTTTAATCTAAGTACTATTCAGATAGATAATACTGATAGCTAATATTGTTTTTTTGTTTTGTTTAATATTGCATAGTCATGTTCTAAGTTAATACAGAACTTTACTCAATCATAGATAATGAATTGTACCCTACCCTACCGACGTACCTACCCTACCTACAGAACCCAGAAAAAGCTATGCACTTTGCTTCAGTCATGCATAGCCATGTTCTAAGTTAATACAGAACTTTACTCACTCATAGATCATGAATTGTACCCTACCCTGCCTATATACCTACCCTACCCTACCTAGAGAACTAACCTAAACCCTCCTACAGAGCCCTAAGAAAAAGCTATGCACTTGCCTCCAGTCCTGCTAATCAACTCAATGTTGTAAAAAAGACTTGAAGTTTGACTTTAACAATGTACACCTAAAGCACTAACAGGGACACTAACCATGCACAGCATGGCACTGATATTTTACAGCTATTGATGGAATAAATCTTTTTTCTGCATATCTCAAAAGTCTTTGCATAGGAGGCCTTCTGCAAGACAATAGCTTCATAAGTGAGTTAAAATTTCCTAAAAGATTTTAGCAAGGCATCATTTATAGCTTTTACTCATTCAAGAGCCCCAAGACAGTTCTCCTAGTCTTTGCTTAGAAAAGCAAATCCTATAGATTTAGAATTGTGCTTTTGAAATGCAGGATTTTAAATTTGCCTGAATAAGTTTTTTTTTTAACATCTTCACTTCCAACAAGGCTGCAAGCAACCACTATTAGAGTTTAAAGTTACTGAAAAAGAAAAAATGAAATTTGTAGAGTAAGATTAACAAACAACTTAAAAAACAATTATACATAATTAACAAACAACTTAAAAGAATTATATGAATCCGATAAACAAGATGAAGGGAGCGAATTCCAAAGAACTGACATAAAAAAACTAGACATATATTAAGAATTTTTAAGGCATTTAGGAACTGTTACAGTAAAAATATGAGACTTGATTAAATGACAAGTAACACTATAATGAATTTTAGTAGATGGCACAAGAGACACAAGCTCTTTAAAGCAGTACCCATTATAGCATTTATAGAAAAGAAAAAGAAAAGCAACATTACAATTATGTGATAATGCTTGGAGGTTGGCGGCAAGAGCAGATCTAACTATGTTTACAATGTGTTTTTGCACCTTGTCTGAAAGAGGAAGAACATCATTCAAAAATTCGTCCCAGATGTGGCAACAGTATTTCATACAAGGACAGGTTTGAGATTTATAGAAAAAAATAATAAAATTGGGAGTAAGAAAGTAGCAAGCATGATAAAGAGATGCAACCTTAGCAGATGCTAATTTTTCATTAGATTTGATATATGGTTTCCAAGAAAGATTGGAAATAAGAGTTAATCCTAGAAGATAAAGGGTAGACTCATTGAGTACATTACCATTCATAAATATAGAAAGATCCAGATTATTGCGTTAACCATTAGTTGAAAAAAATTGATTTTTATTTGAGTTAAAGTTGACCAGCCACTGAGAGCCCTATGTTGAAGCAGAAGTGAGATCATTTTCAATCTCAAATGGCTCCTCCAAGCAATCAGAGAGTGTTGGCTTCTCATCAAGACAAGAATAAATGTTGTTAATGTAAATTAAAAAGTAGTATAGGGCCAAAGTTAAAACTTTGAGGAACTCCGTAAAATAAAAGATATAAAGAAGAGTGCTGTCCATCGAGGACATACAAGGAAAGATTCAATAATCTTAAAGATGTTACCTTATACACCTGATATAGAAGAAAGGTTATGGAGAAAACCAGCATGCTAAACTTATTCAAAAGCTTTAGAAATATCAAGATTATCCCTCTTGATATTTCTAAAGCTTTAAAGAGATTATCACATTTTTAAGATTATTGAATCCTTCCTTAAAAATCATTGAAAAAATCGTTAAAAGTCCTTGATGGACAGCACTCTTCTTCATATCTTGTAACTTCAGGGGTTCCTCAAAGTTTTATCCTTGGCCCTATACTACTTTTTAATTTATATTAACAACATTTATTCTTGTCTTGATAAGAACCTTAATCTTTATCTAATTTAATTAATATCTATCTAATGCACGATAAAAGTTTCATTAAATGCATGTAAATCATTAACACACCTGACCCTGGTGTCTTGAAAGTGAAATTAAAATAAATTTTGTTGAATTTTAGTTCTATTATTTTATAGCAAAAATATTTTTTTATTTTAAATTTTTTTTATTTACAACTTTTAAAATTATATTTTTAATGTTATTATTTTGAGAACATCTGAAAGACTTTATCTTGAAAATGAAAAAAGCAGTGATGTTAAATGTAAAGAAGATGAACATAAAGATCAGACAATAGATAATCCTGTGGTTTCTTTGGAAAAAGAAAATGAACATTCAAAAAGTTTTTTGGATGCTTCAAAAACAATTATTAATGAAGAAATTCCAATAAAGCGAAAAACAGGTATTTATTTGTGTATTTTATAATTTAAACAATAATATTAACAGCCTGCAAAATCTGAAAAGATTTGGATCGGCACAAGTGTGCCATACTTAAACGTCACTCTTTTGCCAATTAGTTGGCCAAGTTTTACTTTTTCATAGCATTGTTCTAACATGTACACACACCTATCATATATATACAAAATATAACATGAAATTTGAATAAAAAAAAAGTATACTTTTGGATGTATAAATGTTTATGCAGCCCCAGTCATAAACCCAGCCCCAGCATATCAAGTTTTGCTTTTTCATAGCATTGCTCTAACATTTTAATGTTATTCTTTGCTTATTCTTAAAACAGTTGCCATGTATGAGAATATAAAATAGGGTTTAAATTTTTTTTTTTAATATTACTGATGTTCCACCTAAAAATGTTTCTTTTGCTAATTTAGCATAACCTTTGTTTTTGTTGTAACAACATTTTAAAAGCTTTGTATACTCTGCGTGCTTTACACCAAATTAAATTAATATCTCTTCATTTATTTTCTTGAATGTAGCAAGATTTAAACCCTCATTTTTTAATTACTGTTCTGTTAGGCAAGTTATGGCTTGTTTAGTATTTTCTTTGTGTACACTATAGTGTTTCATTTTTATGAATGTTTACTTATCATTTTAATAAAATATTTGTTTATAATAAACTTTATTTGTTACTATGTTGTTTTTTTGTTTGGGGTAACTTGTTTGATTTGAAAAAACTAATAGTTTCAATAACTAAATTACATTGAACATGTAGTATGTTTTTTTGACATATATTCATTTATTATTGCATGCCGACATGGATCAGATATTTAAGTTGGCAGAATGTTGACCTGGAATTTCAATGCTTGTATTAAAAAGATAAAATTTTAGAAAAGAATTTCGTTATTTGAAATAATGATTTTGAAAATAAATGATAATAAAAATAAATATTGAACAATTTTTTTAATAAAAATAATTTATAAGGAAAAATGTTTCTAATTTAAAAAAATTAATTTAAGAGGGGTTCTTCAATGAATTTGTATTAGTAATATTAAAACTTTGATATTGGTCAAATGTTTTTTTTGGCATTTGAAAACAACAAAAAAAAGTATTCGACTGGAGCCAACTTTAAAAGATTTTTTAAATATATTATTGTAAATTTCTTTTTTGTAGCATATTTTTTTGTTTGTAGTATATATTAAAATTATTATTATGTTACATTTCAGCAAGAAAAACAGTAGTTGGTCCAAAGAAACCAAATGAACAACTAAGGAATGATTTACAACCCATAGAATCTACTAATAAGTCATTTGAAAATTCAGTAAAATGTGATTCACCAAGTAAAGACCCTTTTGATGGAAATGAAAACCATAAGATTTTCAATGAAAATGTAGATAATCATACAACCGCATCAACAAAGCGCAAAAACAATGAAGAATCTCCTGAAAAATCAATTGATGTAAAGTCTTCAAGTTTTTTTGGTCAGTTATTGTGAATTATAATTTTTTGTTCTTAAAAAATAAAAACAAAAAAGTAAAACAAAATTGACTTAAAATTGTGTATGTTTATAAATTATTTTTCTGTTTTTGTCTTTTTTTTTCAGCCAAAAAACCTCGTCTTGAGAAAAAAAATAAAAAACTTCCAGTGTCTTTAGAAGAAACAAAAGAAGAGATATTAGAACCAAAATTAGATGTGGTGGATCAGCCTTCACCATCTCAGTAATATTTTTGTTGATTATCAGAATTATTTTCTTTAATTTTACACTGCAAAATTTTTTTAAATAATGCTATTATTATTTTTTTAATCCAGTAAGAAACCTGATTCTGTAAAAAATGGCAAAAAAGATTGTCTAAAGCCTGATTGTGTAAAACCTGACAAATTTAATCCTGCATCTTCTACTTACCATCCTATGAAAAATGCTTGCTGGTGCAAAAATGAGAAGTATTTAAAATTTTTTATCTATAGGATTAATTCAAATAAAAAAATAATAATAAATAAAAAAAATGGTATGATATAGTAACTATAAAATATAAGTGAAATAATATATAGAAAATATAATATATCTTATACATATTTTTTGATGATATGCACTAAATATACTTAAGATTAAATGAAATTTAATCTTATTTATATAATTAGTACATATAACTTGAATAATTTAAAATGTATTAACAATTTGTAAATTAAAAATACATTTTAATTTATTTTTTAAAATGTATACATTAATAGCACTGTACAACAATTTTAACAAATTTAAAAGTTTATAAAAGGCAACACCTTATTTATGCTAATAAGACTGCTTGTTTCAAATCTGAAGTCACTTAATGTTCATCACCCCTCCATATTTTTTAAAAAAATTTTAACTTTCCATTAAATGACACGTCAGCATATATTTCATTATAATTCTGTGTATTCACATCAACTGATTTATCTAACTTTTTGTTTTACACATTGCTTTTCTTTTTTTAGATAGTATAACTAACCTCTGGTAATTTCATTCTGCTCTTTTTTTGAATTTTTTTAATCTCATCATTTTTGTTTGTGCATGATTATGGCTTCTAAAGACTGTGTGAATCATCCTATAACACACAAGACCCTTTTTCATTGATGCTTCAAAATCTAGGATAAAAGCTGTTCTTTCTTACAATTAATACAAATGTACATCCATCAGTCCCTATTGCTCATTCTGTCTTGATAAGACAAATCTATCAAAAACCTAAAATAAATTTTTCATTGTATTAGCCTTGATAAAAGCAAATCGACTATCTGTACTGACTTTGTAATTTTGACAAGACTATAGTCATAATTCACAAAATGTTGTTCTCCTTACCTCTGGAATAATTGAAGTGTGTTGAGCACTATACAAAGAAAGATTTGCCACTACACAACATAGGTATTTCTGGTACCAACAATATCAGCAACTTACCCCATAGTTAAAAGACAAAATGTAATATTGCTACCGCTACACATCAAACTGGGTGTTATTAAGTAATTAGTGAAGGCTCTTAATTATGAAAGTGCAGGCCATAATTTAAAATTTTTTTTTTTGTGGGGTCTGACATAAGATAGCTTTTTATCAAGATATCATTTTATTAAAAGTAATAATTAATATTGTCTGAAAGCTTCTAGATGATGATCAGCTTTTGCAGATAATGAATGACCTTCAAACTATATGCAAAGAATTCCTATGTAACTATCGTTCTTCTAACTACATGGATCTCATTCAACAACTGCATCACTCATATGAAGCTCTTAGATGCAAAAAATCCCTGAAATTCCATTTTCTGATGTCACATATGGACTTTTTCTTTGACAGTATGGGTAGTGGTGAGCACAGAGAGCGATTCCACCATAATATTGTTGTAATGGAGAAAATTGAAAAAAAAAGCTAAAAAGAAAAATGGTCACCTGCTATGCTACCAGACTTTTGCTATATGTTGCAACAGGATGGCACTGAAGTAAAGTACATGTGGAAATCTTGTAAGAACTATATAATTAATTATTATAGTTTGTTGAGTATTGTGAGGTTTTTTTTTTTTTTTTTTTTTTTTGTTAATTCACCTCCCTAAAGCCATGAAGGCCACTACGAAAAAGTTGAGCATGGTACTACCAGAGTCATGGTTACCATGGATACCAGAGGATTGAGCCTTATGATGCTTATAAGGTGAGCACTCTACCACTATACCAATACCACACAAAGTGTACTATAGTAAAAAAATATTTTAAAACTCTCTATAAAAAAATACTCAGAAAAAAAATATAAAAGCAAATTACAAATAAAATTTTTCCAAAAAATGGTGCGTGATGGAGATAAACAGACTTCAAATTTGAAATCAGCATATTCCAATAAGTATTTAACAGGTATTGGCTTTCAAGAATTTTTTTTTGTATTGTACTGTGTAGTTTGTAAATTAAAAGTTCCTCAGCCGTATGGTTTTTTTGAAAGTTTTTTAAATTTTTGTTAAATTGTTGATTGTAAGTATTGTTGATTGTAAGTATTGTTGATTGTAAGTATTGTTGGTTATATATCATTAATCAAAAATTTCTGTAAATATTTTTCAATGCATGGTAATTTGGCTAATAAAGTCAATTAAATTTGATAAAAAGTTTGGCTTTCAGGTAAATGTATCTTTAAAGAACCCGTCTTTCAGTTGAATTTAGTACCAAAGTCCAAATTCATCTTTGAGTTAAATTTAGTATAAAAGTGCAAATTTTACTTACAGTTAAATTCAGCTGTTAAAAAGTCTACTTCACAGTTCCTTACTTGTTATTCAAACATTTAATGGTTTAAAACAAAATTAAAACAGTGACAAAAATAGTATTGAATGAAACATTGTTTCATTTAATACTGCAATACAACAACATTCAAATAGACTGTGATCTTGTTACCTGGCAACAATGTGATAACTCTACTATTACATATCTATGTAACAATAATTGCAATAGTCAAAACATCTCTACAGATTTCTCATCAACAAAGTTTATGTCAACAAGGTAGCAAGATATTTAAATAAATGTGTTTTTTGAAGATTACAAAATAATGAATTTATTTTGCAAATTTATCTATCATATCTGTATATTTGAAAAGTAACAAATCTATTCAGTGTGCTCCTTGGAGTTAGTTGAAAGGTGCTGGATGGCAACAGTGGATTGTTCTGATTAGAAAAATATAAAATAAAGAGTAAAAAAATAAAAAACAGAGTATTTATCTCAGTTTGAAAATACATTACCATACCAACAGTAAACTTTCTTACTGTACCAACAGTTAGAAACAGTTATAAAGTAGCAATTTTTAGATGACTAGATGTCAAATGTGAATTATTAAATTCAGAAACTCTTAAAGGAAATAAATTGGGTTCTAGTGCTCATATAAGTTGTTTGCATTATACAAAACTTGATTGCAGAGCATTGTCTTTAAAAGAAAAATCTCTAATAATTGGAAACGCCAATAATAGTAGTTTTTTAATGGCATTTAAATTACCAATGTAATCATTTTGCTGTGCATATTGAAAAATGTGGCAATCCAGGATTGGGAGGGGTATAGCGTCAATCATCTTTGAAGAAATTGTTATATTAATGGACAAAAAAGTAAAACAAATGATATTTAAGGAAGTAAAAGAAAAAAAAAATTCTAATTGATTAGTGTTGACTCCTGAAGTATCACATACTGATCAACTCGCTTTTATTATTAGAAATATAAAAAAATGGAGTCTCCAGGGTGTGTTTTTTGAAATTTTTGGGAAATGTAGAACATAAAGCAATAAATGTGAAAAAAGAAATAATACAATATTTAAATTAAAACAAAATTGAAATAAAGAATTTTAAATTTTGTGACTGCAAGTACAAATTGAGAATATCAATGAGCTATTCTATACCTTATGCAGCCCAACCATTGAACTTGGTTGGATAATTTCCCTCCAGATAGTTGCAGAGTACCGGCATCCCTATTCAATTTTTTGCACGATTTTTTAAAATTTCTTTTCTTTCTCAACAAGTTGTTGGTTTTGTTAACTACTGCTTTAAATCGATGATCTTTCTGATACATGTAAAGTTTTGTATGAAATCTGGGAGGTAATATGTAAAGCTTTATAACAAATATCAGGAGATAAAGTTTTTTTTTTGTTTTTGTTAAATCACCTCCTCAAGGCTGAGAAGGCCACTACAGATGAGGATGCTATTTAATTGTGGTTATAACCCTCTCAACTCTATAACTTTAAAACACGAACCTTGACGAACAAGGCTGCTGTGCAGAGAAACAAGTTGTACCTTAAGTTAAAACTTTATCTTTTTAAGTCAAGCAAAAACTATTGATAATCATATAAATCATCTTGAATGTGCTTAAAATAATTTTTATAATTTTAGAACACTTTAATGCTGAAATTTAAAACTTTTTGAACTTAATTTAAAGTTACAATCAATTTAAAATTTACTATGTTGATTGTTGTTGAACAATATAGATCATTAGTTGAATTTGTAAATTCAATGTCAAATTTATATGAATATCTAAAGACTTTTTTTGTAAAATAATTTTTTGAAAAAAGAAATGAGAAAGAAAAAGAAAATTTTTTCAATCTAAAGCATTTTATGTTATAATTTTATGTTTTAGTGAAGAACTGAAAAAAAGGCTTAAAGCATACAAGCTTGGTGTGTATAATTGTTTCATAAATAAAAAGTGTTGTTTTAGAGGCAAGATTATCAGAAAATTCATGAATATAGATAACAAACAGCACTTAACGATAAAATCTTGTGGTACCCCAGAAATGGCTAGAAGTGTAGGAAAGTATTGTCGGTTCAAGATAACTTAATAATGAATTTAGGAGAGCATAAAAAAGCTGCAATTTGTGTGATGAATAACATCAACAGAAGGACCATCACAAAGTAAATTACAAAAAGATCATATATGTGTTCTAAAGATTTTAGCTGTTAAATGCAAATCAAAATTAAAGATCAATGGAATTGAAAAGCTTTTTGTTATTTATTTTAAGAAACATTAGATAATCAACAAAAAGTTATTTATCTAATGATATTAGAAACATTAGATAAATAACAAAAAAAGTTATTTATCTAATATTATTAAAAACATAAACTTAAAATATGTAATAAAAGAGTATAACTAATTATCAAATTTCTAACTTTTCATTCAAAATGAAGTTCATTTGCAATAGTTTAAGGTATAATTCTATTAACCTTTTATTTCAAAAGTTAAAGATTTGGATTAATGTTAAAAGCATTTAAAAAAAAAAAAAAGTTTTGTAACTGTTTTTAGCTTTTTTTAGCCATTTTTATAATTTATCAAATGTCTTGTTAATTTTTATGAGAGATGTTATGAGAATATGAGAAAATGAGAAAAAAAAAAGAAAGGAAAAAGTTTTTAATGTATAAAATCAACTTTCAGCAGTGGTAATGATAGTGGTGTTTGTGGTTTGGTTGTAAATTGTGTAGGTTGTTTTTTTGTGCAATACTTGATACTTTTTTTTTTTTTTTTAATAATTTTTTTAGTGTTCCTTATGAAGCTTTAACAAGAACTTTTCAAGAAATAGAGGAAATATCAGCAAGGTATCAAGCATGTTTTACAATTTTTGTCTTTTAAATTTTATCTCAATTGTTTCAGTTTTTTTAATTTTTAATTATTAATATTTGTCTAATGATAATTATTTATATGTTTAATTATTATTATAATAATATATAAAAAATATGTTAGATGATAATGTTTTTTTTTATTATGAAGACATTCAATTGATTGTTTAATGTAGTTTAATTCTTATTATTTTACATTCTCACAATTTTAACAAAACATGTTAGAAAATTGTAAGGAAGGAAAAATGAATTTCCTGGTTGAATGTTCCTCTGCGGCGCTCTGTCATAAAACCATTAGGTTTTCATGGAGCAATTAATTAAAACTTGGAGCGACTAAAAAAAGAATAAAACAGCTATACATTAATATATAACATATAAACATTTAAAAGTAATTTTTCTAAAAAGAACAATCAAAAATTGTGATATTTTTTATGCAATTTCAGATTAAAAATTCAATCGGTGCTGTGCAATTTTTTCCGCTCTGTTATTGTCTTGACACCAAATGATTTGTTGCCTTGTGTTTATTTGTGTTTAAATAAAGTAAGTGTTTTATTATTTATAATAAAATGGTTTTTAATTAAGTTTTTATATTCAAATTTTTATTTAAAACAAATTCATATAAGAATTTTTGTAGGTTTATAAAATTTTGTTAAAGATTTGTTTATAAACTTTTTTTTAAAAAGGATTTCAAAGTGTATCTATATTCTATAATATTCTTTAAATGCATAATTTAGTTAGTTTAATTTATGCAATATCTTCTTACTAAAATGTTATTGCTTCATATCATCCAAAATGTTATTGCTTCATATCATCCAAAATGTTATTGCTTCATATCATCCAAAATGTTATTGCTTCATATCATCCAAAATATTATTGCTTCATATCACCCAAAAGGTTATTGCTTCATATCATTCAAAATGTTATTGCTTCATATCATCCAAAATGTTATTGCTTCATATCATCCAAAATGTTATTGCTTCATATCATCCAAAATTGTATTAAAACATAAATTTTCTTTTTATTACCAACTAATGAGAGTTGTACATGACTTAATTTACTTGTCCAAACATATGATGTATATGCAATTAAATTTTAAAACAAGAAATTTATTTTAAATGTTTAAATATTTATTTAATATTTATTTATATTCTATAAATACTTAAAATGTCAATATTAGTTTAATAAAATATATTTTTTATATTGAGTTATCAAAAAAACAAATAAAATCAATATCAAAACATTACATTTGTAAATTTATAAATATATTTTATTAATTTTTATAAATTTTTATAAATATCATTACACTTGTAAATTTATAAATATATTTTATTTATAAAAATAAATATAAATATTATATAATACTATTATTAACATTGTGCAGTAACGAGCACAGAAAAAAGGAACAGAGATAATAGCACTTATTTTAGAGACTCCAATCTATCAGTGGGACAGGTATTAATAGTGCCAGCATTAAAAGCAAGATAAATTACTTCTTGCATGCATATATTAGCAGGGAAATAAAGTTTAAGAAATTTAAAATTAGATTTTTCAATTTTTATCTCTTTTTTTTTTGTTTAAATGTTTATTGTTTGGAAACTTTTTAATATTATTTGAGACTTTTTTTTTTTTCATAGCCTAATTTATACATGATTAATTTTTTTTTTTTTTTTTCGCAAATAGAATCAGGGAGGCACCAATTTTAGAAACTATGGAAGTTTTGTGTCAGTTTGTTGACATTTTTGTGGTTGAGATGGTTTATAATGTTTAATAATGTCGAAAAATTTTTGCGTAGAATTTTTGTTAACAGGTTAAAAATATGATGATACTTCAAACGGTTCTTGAATTAATTCTCAGACTTGAGTTTTTCGAATTTGGCATAAAAGCATTTTTATGTTTTGGAAGAACATAATATGCAAAAATAAGTCTAAGTTCCCGCCAAACAGTTACCCAGAAGTGAACCAACTTGAATGTACATGCAATACTTTTTATGCAAGTAAAATTAGGAAAAAGATAACACAAATAACTTAACATGAGGGTGGTTCAAAAAACAACATTTTTGAAAAATGTATGCAGCTCGAACCTTAATTTGTTCTATATGATAAAATAACACTAGATTTAAAAATTTTTTGAATAAAAATATTTTTTGGGATGTTTTAAAATCCTTGAATATTCAGTGGGTCCCTAATATTAATGTTTTTTTATAAAATAATAATTTTTGATTTTTTTAATATAATTTTGCTTCTTTTGAGACCCAATAAGACATACATTAAAATTAACTTTTTTAGCTTCTTTTGAGACTCAATAACACTTTTGGAAAACTTTTAATATTAGAGATTTATAAAATGTTCAGGGATCTTGAGGAACCACTAAAATTATTTTTTATTCAAAAAACTTTTAAATTCAGTGTTATCTTATTATAAAGTTATATAATAATACACTTTAAGGTGAGAGATGCAGATTGTTCAAAAAAATAAAATTTTCAAAACGCAAATATACAAGAAGCCAAATTTAGGGCAAAAATAAAAAAATAAAATATATATATATATATATATATATATATATATATATATATATATATATATATATATATATATATATATATATATATATATATATATTTAAAAGTCATATTCTTGTTATACAATATGTTTATAATATATAAGTTCAATAAAAAGACAGCGTATAACTATTTATATATATATATATATATATATATATATATATATATATATATATATATATATATATATATATATATATATATATTTTGCAACATATTCGCTTCCAACAAGGCTGCAAGCAACAACAATTAGAGTTGGAAATTACTGAAAGAGAATGGATGAACTTTATAAAGCAAGGTAACGATTTACAGACAACTTTAAAGATTGAAAGCTATATGAATCAGGAAAGCAAGATGAAGGAAGCAATTTCCAAAGAACTGACGTTCAAGGAAAAAAAAATAGACGAATAAGTGTTTTTGGAGCACTTAGGAACAGTCATAGTTAAAGAATGAGACTTAATTGAATGACAAGTAACACGAGAATGAATTTTAGTAGATAGCACAAGAGATGCTAGTTCTTTAGATTAGTGTCCATAATAGTATTTGTGAAAAAGAGAAAGAGAAGCAACATTACAATGATGTTATAATGGTTGGAAGTTGGCTGCAAGAGCAGGTCCAACTATGTTTACAATCGGTTTTTGCACCTTTTCTAAAAGAGAAAGGGTATCATGTGAATATCTGTCCAGATATGGCAACATTATTCTATATAAGAAGATAAAGGGTAGATGACTCTTTGGCTACATTACCGCGCATAAATATAGGAAGATCTAAATTATTGCGATGACTAACTGAAAAAAATTATGTTTTATCTAAATTAAAGTTCACCAGCCACAGAGCCGTATGCTGTAGCAAAAGTGAGATCCTTTTCATGAATAAATACCCCTCCAAGAAACCAGAGAATGTTGGCTTTTTATCAAGACAAGAATAAATGATAGTATCATCAACGAAAACTGCCACCTTAGATGTGAGAATATCCAGAAGATTGTAATTGTAAATTAAAATAAGTATAGTGCTAAAAACAAAAGCTTGAGGAACCCCTGAAAAATGCTGTCTATCAAGGGCAACTTATACTACGATTGGAAAAGAAGGATTCAATAATCTTAAAGGTGTTACCTGATACACCGTAAGAAGAAAGCTTATGGAGAGGACCAGCATGCCAAACTTAATCAAAAGCTTTAGAAATATCAACATTGATAGCCTTAATCTCTTTACCTCTATCTAATGCACAATAAAACCTATCAGTTATTACTGTTAGCAAATCAGCTGTATAATGAAAAAATGGAAATCCATATTGATGGTCAGAAAGTAAGTTATTAGATTCAAGATAAGAGATTAAGTGTTTGCTAATTAAGGATTCAAAAACCTTGCTTTTGATAGGAATAAGACTTATGGGACAATAGTTAGAGATAGCTCTCAAGAGTTTTTGAACGCTTTCCAGCGTTAATTTTCCAACAAGATTCTGATAAGCACTTGTTAAATAGTTTTGAAAGTATAGAAGACAGCTCTGGAGAACACTTCTGCAAGAATATAACAGGTATGTTGTCCAGACCACAAGGTGCAGAAGAGTCTAAGCAGGAAATCATTTTAGATACAAAAGCTTGAGTGATAATGTCAAGCTATGGATCAATCTGTTCGTTAGCTATATCAGGTAGATTACGACTAATGGAGATGATATTGATGAAAAAATCTAATTATTGAGATGAAATATGAGATTTCATATTTTCATGAGATGACCTGAGAGAAGCGTTTTAACTTATGACAAAATCTTTTTACAATGGTTTCTAGCAATAGTAAATAGACTTTTGTTGACTTAGGTATAGAAGTAACAGTTTCGATTGGAAATTGCAGTTGACAATGTGAGGAAAACCATGGAGAAGAGTAAGGCTTGACTTGGAACCATTGAGAGGGAATTAAAGATTCCATGTAAGCCTGAATCCAAGAAATTATGTAAAAAGTACATTTATTTATAGCAGGAAGATAAACAATTTCTACTCAAGGGCCATCACAAAAAAAATTACAAAAAGAGTCCCAGTCAGCTTTAAGGTAGTTGTAAGAGGTACAATAATAGGGGGATTCTGATAACAAAGAAGAATGAGATAAAAGTTTTAGAAAGATTAACCTTAGGGTGAATGCAGAGAAACTGAGCACTAACTAGGATCAGAAACAAGACATAAGTTGAGTAGAGAAGGTAATTGATTCGGGTTGTCTGGAAAGTGTGTTGGGAAATTGGCTATTGTAATAAGAGGCAAAAGTTCTGGGTCTTAACGCTTGCAGAGTCACTGACACTTGAGCCAAGCCATTCAATGTGATGAACATTAAATTCACTAACAACAATGATATTGCCTGATGGATAAAGAGAGAGGGCTCAGTCAATTTGATCAGAAACAACATTAAAAAGAGTGCAGTCTTGAGCGATATAGAACAAAGAGAAAGACGATAGAGTGAATTGGATCTAAACGAAAGCACATAAAAAATAGTCAGTGGACCCAAGCCTAGTTTCCCAACAAATGGAAAAATGGGTGAATTTTTATGAATGTAAATGCTCTGGCCAAGCATGTGACTATTGGGGTCTTTACGAATTAAAGGAAGATAACCATCAATACTAAAATCACAAGATGAGACAGCTGAACTCAAATTAATCTCACAAAGAGCATGCAGGTCTGGTGAACTATGCAAGATATAAAACTCAATAGAAGAAAAGTTACTTCGAAGACCATGAATATTAGTGAATGATTGGTTTAGAGAACTTGGTGATGACGATTGTTTTTTTGTGTTTTATAGTTTTTGGTATTTTAGTCATTTTTAAATTTGTTAAAGTTTCGTGCCATACCGAAAATCATCAGCTATTAAATACATTAAAAACCATCAGAAAAAAGAAGTTGTTCTAATGTAATTTTTAATTCATTTTAGAAATGAATTAAAAATTACAGTAATTCTTCTGACATAACAAAAGATGTAACTATTCAGTCTCTGACAGAATGTTGAGTTAAAGCTTATAAGCTGTAAATATTTGTAAACAAGTACAGTTACTAATGTGAATAAAAAAGTTTACTATGGTTTGCTTTCTATAAATGTTTTTTTATAGAAAGCAAACCATAGTAAACTTTATAATTAATGCTAATGTTTTTTTATTTATCAGTTTCCCAGTACTTATATTAACTTAATTTTAATACATTTTTGGACATATCTGAGCATTTCTATTTCTTTTTTCATACTTTACTTTAAATGTAAAGTTTTAACATGGTAAATATTTTAAATTGTAAGTTATAGTTTGTTATTTCAATTATAGTTATGTAGTAAATTATAATTGATTTTAAATAAACAATAAATTTAAACTGAGAATTTTATATAATAGAATATAATAATAAAAAATAAATATTGATGTTTATAGTTAGCTCCAGCATATGAAGGTATGGAACTAGGAATTGGTGAAAATGTTTTGATGAAAGCTGTTTGCTCTTCAACAGGTGAAAAAAAAAAAAAAAGTTATAATAATAAGCAGAATAAAATAATTGAAAAAAAAATTGTTTCATAGATTTTTTTATATATATCAATTAAAATTACTGAAAATACTGAAATATGTATATCTGGGGGCTTCAGATGATACACTGATATATTGCCTGCCCAAACTCTAAGGATTAGAGTTTGGGCAGGCAATATCTAATAATATTAAAAAAAACTATTTTTTTGTTTATTGGCAAACGTGTTTTTACATTTTTAAAGGTTTTTAATTCCTAAATTTTTTGTTTCAAAGATTTTTCTAGTTTAAAGACAATTTGATTTCAAAAATTTAGTGGAAATTTTCTTTTTATTTTGATGGATATTGTTATAATTTAAATTTGTTATAAGCCTGTTTTACATATCCATTTACATGTAGTATATATACTATATATATATATAATATATCATTACATATTTATATATATATATATATATATATATATATATATATATATATATCTTAATATGTAAGATATATATATATATAATATATAAGATATATATATATATATATATATATATATATATATATATATATATATATATATATATATATATATATATATATATATATCTGTAAATATCTATAGAAATGTATATATATAAATATGTTATTTTTTAATATTCAGAAATATATATATATGAATATGTTATTTTTTTCTTAGGCAAAAACATGACTCAAATAAAAGCTGAAGTTGCAGAAAAAGGAGACCTTGGAATAGTTGCAGAGGTTTTCATTTTTTAATAAACACTATTTAATTATTAATAAATGTTTTTTAATTAAATTATAATAATAATTATAAATATTTTTTAATACTTTCAAACTTTATTTAGTATTTTGCTTGTTTTCTCTTTTTTTTTTGGTAAAGAGTTGTCGCTCTAATCAGCGTATGATGTTCGCTCCCCCTTCATTAACAGTTAGTGGTGTCTTCAAAAAATTGAAAAATATAGCTGAAATGACAGGTCATTCGGTAAACTTAATTTAACACTTTATCTTTATTATAGATGCTGGTATATTATAGATGTTTAATTTATTGCTAGTATAATTATATATGAGATGCATTGATATATGATATATGAAATATATATATATATATATATATATATATATATATATATATATATATATATATATATTATTATATACGATATATATATATGCGATATATACATATATATATATATATATATATATATATATATATATATATATATATATATATATATATATATATATATATACACAATATATTGATATATATTGATATATGGAAATATAAGATATGAGATATCTTATATAAGATATATGAGATATATATGTTTGGCAATTGTTTTCTGATTGTTTAATTTTTACAGAAAATAAAGTTTTTAATTTTAATAATAACAGAATTTTATATTTTGATATTGCTTTTTTTAAAATGTATTTTTGTGTTTTTTATGGTATTTTAAAAAATCTAAATTTTAATATTTGGTGAAATGTTGAATTTTCCTAGCACCGCATCCCTTGTAAATAGTTATTTATAAAGTTTAATCAATTGTTTCATACAAAATTAAAGGTTGTAATCATAAAAATTGTGTTATTCAAAATTAAATGTTGCATAATAGTTATGGTTAGACTTCCACCATTTTTCAGACCAATAAAAAATTTTCCCAATATTTTTCATATGTAAAAAATGCTTGCCCAACCATAAACTCTATGTATTCTAACCCTGTAGATAGCTATTTCAGTCTAAAGTTATCAGTGAGGTTTCTTGTGCAGCTAAATCCACATTTATTGATATTTCTCATTTTCTAATTCATAACTTTTTATGAGTTAGTCGTAATAATCCAATAAATACATCAATAAAAACCTTTTCAAAAGTATATATAATTAATACTATAATAATATGTATCTATGAATGAAAGCAATCCCAAATTATTTTTTTATTTTATAATGTACTCTATTTTTTGTGCTCCTACTTTTATGATGTTTAATCTTTAGTTGATGTTAATCTATTGTTTATTTTTTAGTCTATGGCAAAAAAAATTGAAATAATTCAACAGATGTTTGTAGCATGCAAAAATTCAGAAGCAAGATATTTAATTAGGTAAACTGTTTGTCAACCATTATATAATATATAACCTGTCATATCAAAAAGTATACATTTACTAGAAACATCACATATTTGATGCAGGTAATAATTATAAATTATATAAACAAAAGTGTGTTATCTCTTTAACAATCTTCTTTAAACTTAAACTTAATCTTGTATATATAAATTAGTTATTCAATTTAATGAATTTAGGCAGGTAAGACTTTTTAGCTGTGGTAAAGACATCTTATCGAGCAAAAGAAAATCTCAAATAAATTGCGGTATAAACAAAACATATCAATTTAATTGTGGGTGATAGTAGGCTCCTCTACAAGATTTTTTTAAAAAAATTTATCAGAAGGTTTAATAAGATAACTATCAAATTTATTTTTTGTGGATTTTTTTATTTTCAATTAATTATGTCACAACTTTGTTTTCTTTGATGACACAACCTAAATACAAAATTATTGTAGTTTACCATACATAAAAAATTTATGGGATATAGTTGATATGAGCCATGTATGGTAATTGTATTACATAATTGGTAAAAGTATTATAACACATATGGGTCATATGTGGCTACAATCTAAGTGGTATAAATACCTTAGCCCATATTTATGCCATAAATCATGTATTATTTAATTATGCAATTATAAAATCACTATCATTTAATTATACAATTATATATAGTGTGGCCCTAGTGTGGCCTTGAATTTTCTTGTCAGGTACATATGTACAAATCTAAAAAAGATAATTAATTACGTATATATGTATAATCCTAAAGAAGATAATTATTAAGTTTAAAGTTATTGTATTAAATTTATTTTTGTGAATTCACAAATTCACAAAAAATATTTGTACATATGTAAATAATTAAAAAATTGTAAGAAAATAACTCATAACTCATCTTTATTGTTTTTTGAATCTATTAAGAATGGTTAGAAGATATTTATCAGGAAGTTACTTTATAAGTGTGTGTATATATATATATATATATATATATATATATATATATATATATATATATATATATATATATATATATATATATATATATATATATATATATATATATATATATATATATATATATATATATATATATATATAAATTATGTTAGTGTATTTTACAAATAGAGTGCTCAATGTTCTCAAAGAACAGAGCAATAATAAATTAGTAAAAACACTTATCTAATTTTCTTTTTTTGAAACAAGTTGTTTTGCCATCAGTAGGTATTATGATGTCACTACTATATATGTCAGTTTCTCCCTTTCTCTCAATAGTTATGGCATGTCTGGTGTGAGTTAATTTTGTGAAGGGATGCAGGTTTGGAGTTATTAATGCTAAATATGTTTAAAACATTCAGAATATACCTACATAGATATCTATAAGCATGTTGTATATACCAATAGATGCAGCATTAGATGCATACTGATGAGATCATACTGAAATAGGGAGCTGCGAGGAGCTTCAGTGTATACATCAACTGAGGGTTTTAAGGTCGGATATATATTATTTAGATTTAAAAAAATGACAAAAAAAAATAATGGTAATGAAAAAAATTGTTGCTTTTTCATTATTTTTTGTTTTTTCCTCTATTTCTGAAAATTTAAAGTGCATGTTTTAAGAATTAATGTAAATTAAAAACAAAAAATTATATAAAACTATGCCTTTTTATAGTTATAGTAAATATATGTGTGTCCATACACAAGAGTTTTTCCATGTATGCTGCTTTATCCTAGATATGATAATGAATCTGCTTAACATTTTGTAGTTTGGATTTATGTAGTCATTTACTATGTTCTAAACGTATGCCACTTTATCATATGAGATTTATTTTACATAATCTCTAAAAAAAAACAGCAAATTGTTAGAAACAAGATCTGAAACCTATTTAATGAACAACCTTAAGTAATAAAAAAAAAAGGAAAAAAATAGACATATATATTTTTTTCCTTTTTTTTCAAAATAATTGTTGGCAGAGTTGTTTTATTATATTATTATCTTGATCAAGTCATTTTCTTATAAACACACTGTCTTAAATTAGTATTTTGTCATATCACCTTTTGCAGCGAGGACTGCTTTAATTCTCTTAGGCATACTATCATTAAGTCTTGTTAATAACAATGGGTCTAAGCTATTACATGCATCTTGAACAAAATTGAAAAGACTAGTTTGTTCTTTTTTTAATTTTATCTTTGAGTATTGACAATAGGTTTTCAATTGGATTTAGGTCAGGTGATTGACTAGACCACCAGTCCAATATAAGAATGTGTTTTTTAACATATTATGCTGTGTGCTTAGGATCATTATCTTGTTAAAAAAAAAATAGGTAGTTACCATCTTGAAAATTATTATCTGGAAATAATTCCATGCAGCTTGGCTTTGCATGGTAAACAAGGATCCCATGGTGCTGTCTTTAATCTTTTAAGTCCTTACTGTAGCATGTGCTGCAAAGTATACCCATAGGTTTATCTTCTTTTGATGTTTAACAGTGGATTTAATACACCTAGGATGATACTTTTCATTACTATGTCTCCAAGCATGAAATCTTCAAGTACATTGAAAACCGAAAGGAGACTCATCTGACCAAGCAACTCTTCTCCATTGGCCAATAGTACAATCTTTATGTGCACTGCACCATTGGAGCCTATGTGCAATGTTGACTTTTGATAGAAGAGGCTTCTTGATAGCCCAATGAGAGTCTAAAGTTTTGCACACATGTAAACGACAAATTAAAGTTTTTCCAGAAATGTTTGTAATACCAGTTTCCACTTTTATTTTATCTGTATAAATGCAACAATTTTTAGGGCAGCTTGGACAATACATATATCTTCTCTTTTTGTAGTTTTTTTTTCTTGCTTCTTGATCCAGAATGATAGGCTGTTTCTCCTGTGTCCTTGTACTTTTTTAGAAAATCAGTAATGGTACTTTTTCCATATCCAATCTTAAGTTCAATATCTCTATGAGTCATTCCAAATGATGACAATTCAATAATTCTTTCTTTATTACATCATTAAGGACCATTTTATATATGGTATTTTGTATATTTAATCTGAAAAGTGTTAAATTAGCATTATGAATACATATTAGATTTTTGTAAATATACAAGCTTAGGTTTAGATTAACCCTGTCTATATACAGTTTATATTTTTCTATTTTATTAAAAAATATTGAGTTGTTAAACCATAAAAATCATAAAAATTAGAAAAAAATTAAACTTGGATTCAATATGAAGTTCATGTTTAATCTAAAAAAATACAATAACTGAAACAAAAATAAACAATAAATATTAAAAAAAAGCAGAGAGATGGGTTTAAACCTCCTTGAAATGTTTTGAAAACCCAAAAAAAGTTAGTTTTTTTTTACAAAAAACTTACTTTTGGCTGGTTTTTTTTGGTCTTGACTATAGCTAGTTTTATTTTATTGGTCTTGACTGTAGCTAGTTTTATTTAACATTTTAAATAAAAAGTAAAGATCTAGAACTCCTAATGATAATATTCAGAAGTATATAAAAAAGCAAGAGTGTTTAATAGATCAGAACCACCAAAGTGACTTTTAGACACCTCATAAACAACTTTAGAAAACACATAACCAACTATGCAGGGTTAGTATCACTTTAAAGTATCACAATTTCAGTATAAAAATAGCACAATATATGACACCAAATAACGATTTTAAGAAACAAAAAGGAAATTAACAAAAGTTTGATTAGGCCACATTAAATCTTGCACCAATATATTTTTTTAAATCTTTGCTCGCAATCCATCTATTGTTACATATCTACCTGTATAACACTGATACTTAAAGTTAATCGATATTCTTTTACTATTAAGGCATGTATAGGAAGTTGCTGGGCATGATACATATGCTGAGTTTTTCTTGATATTTTTGTACACAAATTTTTAAGTTTTTCTCATGCTTCATAATCTTTGTTATTTTTTGAATCTATTAAAGAAATTAAAAGGATATTTATTACAAAGTTATTAATATTTATTACAACGTTATATTTACATATGTACAAGTTCTTAATTTTAACCAACTGGTATGTATAAGAACTGATTCATATTTTTTCCATTCTTATTGGGTAGTATGTTGCTATACCTGTTGCAATTTTTTTCAGTGTGTCAATACATTTATGGAATTCTAGTGGTACTACAGTTATCATTTGTTCTACTTGCTATATAACCTCTGGAATTAGGTCTATCTAGTCCTCCACCATTAAAGCCATGTTAAATAACTATTTTTCTCTCTAAAAGCTTAATTAAAAAGGTATAACATCCAATACCAGATTGTTTAGGATCTTTAAGGCATGAGTTGATGACATTAAAAAGGCACTGCCTCTGCTTTTGTGGTTTATCTGCATCAACATACTGTTAATGGATATAGCCCTCATCTATTTTGTTTATTCAAAAAGGTTCATAACCTTAATTGAGTCTTAGCCCACATTAATGCTGATTTTTACAATTCCTTTTTGAAAGACTATATCTTTTTTGTTTCATTAACAACTTGAAAACTATCTTCAACATGTTCTATATCTTTGAACCTCTTTATGGTTAGCAACTCCTTAGGGTTGCATGCACCTTTTTAAATGGTAAACTAATTTCAGTCAACATTCTTTTGATTATAGGTTCAAAATGATCATGCTTTCTGTTAATATTAAATGCTGTGTAATAAAATATTTGTAGAAGTATTTTTGAAGCTGTATATGTGATGATGAATTCCACCTGTTTATGGTTTGATGTTACTCTTTTTATCACAATTATTATCAAAACCTTTGATGCATTGAGGCAACAACAGATTTAATGTTAGGTGTTGGACACCAAGTATTCTTTTTAGTTATTTTAAGAAAGTTCTGCTATCAGTTTTACCAAACAGTTTTTAATGGGACAAAAACACACAGTCATTAAAGTTTAATAATGTTATATATACTTTTTTCTTTCTTAAACTGTATTACTGTATACTTTTTATTTATAAATTATAAATTTAATAACATATTAAAATGCAAAATTCAAATTCAAATGTATACCACAAATATACATCATACATACATACCTTTATATATATTCCAACCCATAAATTTTTAAAATTATGTTATTTGATGTTACAGTAGATTTTTTTAAGGTAAATGTAGCACAAAAGACAACAAAGTTATGGTGTATAAAATTTGTTACCATTAAAAATAAAAAGTTTGCGAAAAATTCAGTTTAGAATTTTTTTCTGAAACAGCTCTAATTTTTGGCTAGTTTATTCTATTATACCTACCTGATTATTTTGTAAAGAAAAATCCCAGGTATTGGTATCCCAGGTACTTTTACCTTTAAGCTAATTATCCTATAATAGCAATTCAGAAGAAGCTCGTAAACCTTGGATATTTATCCTGAAGTTAATTAAAATAAATCATACTAAAAAAATTAAGACAACAGGTGTTAAAACTTGAAAATTAATAAATTCTGTTGTTTTTCTATTTTTATTGTATTTATAAATTTAACATTGTTTGTTTATTTGATCAACTTATTTCAGTTTTTGATATAAACTTGCACTTAATGAAAAAAGAATTTCAAATGTTTGATTATTTCCAAGAAACTTATAGTTATAAAATTTACATAAGTTCTAAATTTTCTTACATATTGTAAATTTTAAATTTAAAAATTTAATTTTATTATTTCCTAACTTAGTTATTTGTATTTTTTTATTCGATCAATAATTTATCTTATCAACCTTATCAATTAATTTTAATTTTTAAGGTCATTAGGTGGTAAACTAAGAATTGGTCTTGCAGAACAGTCTGTGTTATCTGCTTTAGGACAAGCCGTTGTATTAACTCCTCCAGGTCAAGATTATCCTCCACAAATTATTGATGCAAGTACAATTTTGTCTTCAGAAAAACTGAAGGCTGAATGTGATGAGGCTTCATTGGCCATCAAAACAGCTTATTGTGAACTACCATCATATGATATAATTATACCTCAACTGTTGTTAAATGGTTGGAGAAAATTGCCACTAACATGCCATATAACACCAGGTTAGCATAAACTTGTGTTAACATTTTGGTTGTGGATGTAAATGTGTATTTTTAAGCATGATATTGAAATGTATATTTAGGAATACCATTAAAACCTATGTTGGCACATCCTACAAAAGGAGTGAGTGAAGTTCTAAAACGATTTGATGATGCAAAGTTTGTTTGTGAGTATAAATATGATGGAGAGCGAGCCCAAATTCATTTGCTTGACAATGGTGAAGTTAAGATATATAGCAGAAACCAAGAAAATAATACATCTAAATATCCAGATATTGTTGCACGAATACCTAAGGTTTTTTTGCTTATTTTTTTCTTGTTTAGATAACATTCTAATTAATTCATAATAATAATAAAATAACATGTTTAATAATTCTAATGATTAAACATGTTATTTTAGCAATATGTGAACAAAAAAGTTGTTTTTACATTAAAAAATGTACAAAAAAATTTATTAAAACTTGTGGTTTAATATTATTTAGTTAATTTTAACTTATTTTAAATAAATATGCTAAACTATATATTTATGTATAAATAATAAATTATTATAAATAATTTCATAACATCGTTTTAACTTTTAGGTAATAAAAACACATGTACGGTCTTGTATTATTGACACTGAGTCTGTGGCCTGGGATCAAGAGAATAAAAGAATTCTACCTTTTCAAGTGTTGACAACAAGAAAGCGAAAGGTTTAAAACTTAGTTTGGTTTTCTTAATATATATAATTTCATATATCTAGAATCTTTTAATTTGTCTTTTATTTGTTATCTTGCTTTGTAAACTTTATTTTTTTCATTAACTTCTAACTCTTATAATGGCTTCTTGTAGCATTGTGCAAGTTTTTTCAGCATTATGCAAGTTTCTTGCAGCATTGTGGAAGAAAAGATGTTAAAAAAAAAATTAGACAGATGTATACAGATATAAGCTAGGCATGTCAAAACTAACATACGGTATGGTCAGCCACTCCAGGCTCCCTAAATTAAACACTCTTAAACCCTTCATTTGTAAATAATAAAAGAAACCCCAATTATAAAACCAACTCACAAAAAAATTATTATGTTTATTTAAACATTAAAAATATTAGGAATTTTTCCTTGATTTTTAACTACAATTGAATAAAGCATTTTTAACCTTTAGATTTAATTGACAATTAAATGTAAAGGTTAACAATTCTAATTGTATTTATTTTGCATAACAGATACTAATAAAACAGATACTAATAAAACAGATTGCACAACAGATACTAATAAAAATGGCAGATGATAGAAATAAATCATTTTAAATCAACATTTGAAAAAATTATTTTTAAATTTAAAAGGATTCTTGAGACAAGATTTTTGACTGCTGCTAAATCATTATTTCAGTAACTAGTGAAATGTTTTTTTTTTAATTGATAACAAAATATAAAATAGTTTTATTGAGCAGTTGTTTTTTTTTATTTAATTATACTATGCACATTTTGCTTTTAATGGAGTTTGCCAATTTGCATCACAAATTGTTATTAAAATTATTTAAAATATTTATAAAACTATATTATTATAAACTCAACCCTTAGAATTAGGGATGGCATTTTGCAATGCCGACCTAAAGTGTTTGAGGTCAGAAAAAAATTGCCAGTCTCGTCTCTATATTTCATGGTATGACCTTTGTATCAAATTTATTTTGCTAACCTTATGCTGACCTCTAAAAGATTGAGGTATGTAAACTATATAATTATATATAATAAAAAAATATATATAAAATATATTGTTATAAATTATATAATTATATATAACTAGCAATAAGCAAATCGTAATACGGGTTACAGTTGGTCTGTTACATAACTAACTTATAGTGGCTGTTATCCACAATTTAATGTTGCAAAACCTTAACTAATACCCATTTAGAAAAACGCCTTCAAGTTGAAAAAATTAATCCATCTGTAAAATTAACATAAAAAGTATGAGGAGGTAAAATAATTTACCAACTACTACTTAACATTTACAATTACTACTTAACATTATTTGAGTAATTTACAAATGGCATAGGTCATAACAATGTAAGGCAGAACCATTTCCCTCGACATTCCTAAGTTTAATACAATACGTTTTTAGTTATTGACACAAAATAATAACACTTCATCATGCTTTAAATTGACGAAAGTATCAACTAAATCCTTGTAATAATTTTTATAACATGAACTTTTAATATTAAGATGAAGTTAACTTATATTATACAGGAGTTATCAATTTTTTGGTATCCCCTTGATTAATTTTTCTTTAGAAAAGAAAATTGTTAACTTAAAACATTAAATGCACACAACTAAATAAATTTATTAAAAATAACTAAGTTTATTATAAATAACTTAGCAGCTGAGTACAAATACGTTTCAAACAAAAAAAATTTAATTTACAATCAAACATTTGTATAACAAATTTAAAAAAATATGTAAACTTTGATCTTTTATATTGCATTAATGCATCATATGACAAACCTGAAATTGTAATAGATAAGTAAACATAAAAATTTGTAAACCAAGCTGAACGGACCAGGGTCTTGTTAAGTCTGCTCAACCCAGACCATTTCTATATTATTTATTTTGACCTCCCTATTTCATTAATTTTTAGTAAACGGTATTTTACTATCATTTTCTAAAAATTCCTTTGGTTACTCGAAATTAAATTTTCCTAAATATTTTGACACTTATAAAGAGGTTCCTCCCCAATAATTGTTTTAATTGTAGTTTATTTATTTTAAATAAACTACAATATTCTTCATGTTTTTAAAGGTTTTTAGTTACGACCCCCCGTTTACAAAGATTCCCAAAAGATATGTACAACAAATTATTAGGCATAAAATACATAAAATATAAAACAAAATTTGAACTAATTGGATGTTTTTATATCTTTTTAACTAACAAAAATTTACAATAAAAAAAATTAATAATAATAATAAAAATTGATTTACCTATTTACAGTAACCTATTTTGAAATTGCAGTTAATATAAACATTTATCAAAAATGTAACTATAAAATCTGTTTCGAAGTACAAAAGGATTAACAATACTAAAAAAAATCAAACTAAGATATAAATTGCATTTTTTAGCAAAATGTTGTCTTGTCTTTTAGTAAATAAATAAAAGCAGTAAGTTCCAATAATTAAACTACCTATTATTTATTTTTAACAATAGACACTAACGGGAAGGTGAGCCAAGCTGTCTATCAACATAAAACATCACAAAAATAACATTACAGCAATAACACATAACAATAAAATCCAGTGAAAATAACAAACTAAATTAAAATATTCTAAAGTGTCTAATGTAAAATCGAATTAATAGACATTAACACCACTTGACACTGAACTCTGGCAAGTAAGTTTTCTGTTCATCAAGCAGAATTTCTTACATTCCAATGACAATTCATTTTATCATCCCCAGATCTATCTCTTTCATTTGAAAACAATTTTTTTCAAGTCAGCTATTATCATTTACATTAATAATTTCTTCAAGCCTAATATTATACAATTGTTATCACTAAATGTTATCACTACAATTGTTATCACTTACAACTGAATAAATAAACGTAAAATAATCACAAATTGTGATCTCTTCTTATCAAAGACTATATTTGAAATTTGATATCTATATATTTTTAAAAGTTTATATATAGAAATTGTTTATTAGCAATATAAAACAAAATTTGTTTATATTATTTTAGTTTAAAAAATTTAGACTACAATGCACAAAGCTATTTTTACCTTCAGGCACAATCTTAATGCACAAAAATAATAAATGCAGAATCTTGTATAAAAAAATGAAGCAATGTCACTCTAAAGTAATATATGTATGTATGTATATATATTCAAATTTTTTCTACTCTTTTTTATTTTTTATTTGAGATAATATTTTTACAGATACAGAGAAATATTAAATATATTGAAATATAGGCAGAGTTATGTATATAAACTTACCCGTCAACAAATTACAGTCAGTTTTCCATGTTAAATACATAAAATATATATCTAATATTTAATAAATCCAATATATAATAAAACAAAATATTAAACTTACTCAAATAAGTAACAGTTCGACTGTCTAAAATTTTTTATTATTATCAACCCTTCTATTTAAAAAGAACAACATGATTTGAAGTGACTAAAAAGCACTTCAGCTCTTTCCAATTGCACTAAAATATAAAACAAATCTTGCTTTGCTAAGATGCCTAGTTCTAAAGAATCTGAAAACAAATAAGTAAAACCAAAAACAAACAAACATTTATTTATTAAAACTACTCTTTTTAAATAAATTAAATTAAACAGAGAACAACATTAATTCTCCTTAAAAGCTGAAAATTTTTTCAGCTCAAACTTGCTTGTAAAACCACTTGAATATGAAAAACATTTAGAAAAACCTAGAAACTACTTTAAAATGGTATATGCAACATTGCACTTAAAAGGTTAACTGGACTAATTATTAGTAGATATTTTTAAATAATTCATAAAAATTTACAATGATTTGTTCTTCTATACCACATAAATACATCACATGATAAATTGAAGTTAAAAAATGTAGCGAATAAGTAAATACAAAGAAAAACATCATATATGAATTGAAAATCGATGTACCTAAGTACCTACATAAAGATTAGCCAAAGGTAACAACATTACGCAAAAGAAATTATCAAAGATAATGTTATGTATTTTCAGAATAGTTATATTGAAGGCTAGACAACACTTAGACCTAAAGCAGTAACACTGCTTGACTGGTAACAATGACAAATCTTGCTCTACACGTTTGCCAAGTCACACCACTTTAAAATCACGGAAACCACATTATATAAACATATATACTAATTATAAAACACAATATTTTTTTTTAATGTTATATAACATATAAAAACACCTCATATTTATTATATATTTATGTTTATATATATAACTATTAGTTATATATGTTAATAGTTTGCATATATGCTCAAATGTATGTGGTGATATATGTTATAATAACATATATCACCACATACACATATTTATCAAAAACATTTTAACTTTGAGCAAAATATTTTTATATGCAAACTATAAACATATATAACTTGAATTGGGCAAACAAAAAATTTAAAAAGATTCGTATATATTCATATATAAAGATGTTGTAATGGGTTTTATCCCAATTATTAAAAGCATGTGAAGGCATGAAACTACCCATAAATATCTTTTAGCGCTAGACATATTCTAAGATTTATAGTAATCTATATTTTCAATATTAACATCTATAACATGAAGCTTTAAATTTAAAAGTAAAGTTTTAAAAAAGGTTACAATAAATTAGTTACTAAAAAAAATTTTAAAAAGATTTTATATTACCTATAATTTTAATCTACTAAACATTATCTACTTAATGTCTACACTTTGAACACTTTCATCTGTTTTGAACACTTTCATCTGTTCAACATTTTTATCACTTTTATCTGTTTAACAACCGAATTATTATTATTATTATTATTATTATTATTTTTAAATGCCTGGTATGAGCCAGTGAGTATGAGCCAGTGAGTGTGTTATTAGCACACTATGACAGCTGATTTGCCTGACTGCTGCTCATCCAGCAATCAAGACCTCCTTTAAAACTGTAAACTGTTGCTGAATTAACCAAATCGTTCAGCAAGCTATTCCATAAATTGGCTGATCTGTTAAAGATGAGCTTGCTTAG